ATACGTGCTGGTTGCCACTCTTCATTGAATTCTGGATTTATAGTTTGTCGGGTTGTACCGATATAGGTACGAAACTTAGTTACCAAAGTTCGTAAATGCCAAGATGCCTTAACATGGAGTCTTCTTGTATTCACTGACGGCTTGAACTGGGTGGAAAATCAATCGTATTATAAACTCAGTTTCATTGCAATTCGGTTCAGTCTGCAATAAGAACAGTGCAGCTGGAGGGTAATGAAACATTCGAGCCAATGACCGTTGGGACCTGGAAATGTTCGTTCCGATTGCTAATTTCCTTTGACGTACAACGTCTGGTGCCAAAATTTAACAATGACATCGGAGGTATGCAGGTTGACTGAGACTGGTGAGCAGCAAGTTGACAGCGGAACAGCACCCTGAGTTATCAAATCCTCAATCAGACCCACTTCATCAGCGTAATATTCTTCTTGGCGAGGAGCTTGCTTCTTCAAACCCATCGAAAAAGACAGTAACCGTCCTTATTGCAAGGTAATGTTTTAATTCACCCATGCACTCATTCCGCTCACAGTCAAGGTATGATCTGATCTACAGATATGCCAGAGTTGCGGTAAGTTGTCCAGGATAGCGATGATTCCAAATCCTTGAAAGTCTGCCTTAGAAGGTTCGACGAGTTCAAGTTCTAGGAATCCCGTCCGTCGAAACTGAAGTGGGGTCTGCTGTGTGTTTATGATTGCGCACAGCTGGAAACCTCCAAAATTGAAACACCGAAGAACTCGTGACTCTAACAGGATTTTACTGAATTCGTGACACAATCTAACGGGTATCCCTCTTGCTTCTAACCACAACTGCTCGTTGACATTTATCGATCTGCATACAGAAAGGCAGAGACTCTGCTCGGATAGCGCAATGTTAATTATTAACTCAAAGATCACCCTACATGGTAATAGGGCTTGCCAATTAGGAGATGTTTTGTTGGGCGCATGAATCTAACTTTCTTGGAGACATCTAGGTGTGTTTGTTGGTATTTTGGGTAAGAAGGGCGTAGCTCAAG